ACACACACACACACACACACTGCCTATGTTTGCCAGGCATGGTGGCTCACGCCTGTAATCTTAGCACTCTGGGAGGCTGAGGCTGGTGGATTGCTTGAGCTCAGAAATTTGAGACCAGCCTGAGCAACAGTGAGACCTATTTCTAAAAATAGAAAAAAATTGCTGGGCATTGTGGTGGGCACCTGTAGTCCCAGCTACTAGGGAGGTGGAGGCAGGAGGATTACTTGAGCCCAGTATGAGGCTGCAGTGAGTTATGATGTCACTGCACTCTATCCTGGACAAAAAACAAAACAAAACAAAACAAAAAAAAATATATATATATACACACACACACACATACATATGTATAATTTTAAAAAATACATATATGTCTATGTTTTTTAAAAAGTTTTTAAATAAAAAACCTAAACTTCCACCTTAATAGAAAAGGGCTGGGTGCAGTGGCTCATGCCTGTAATCCCAGCCTTCTAGGAGGTCAAGGAAGGTAGATTGCTTTTGCTCACAAGTTCAAGATCAGACTAAGCAAGAGCCAGACCTTGTCTCTAAAAAATAGCCAGGCATTGTGGTGGGTGCCTGTAATCCCAGCTACTTGGGAGGCTGAGGCAAGAGGATTACTTGAGCCCAAGAGTTTGAGGTTGCTGTGAGCTGTGATGCCAAGGCACTCTACCAGGGGTAAGAAAGTGAGACTCAGTCTCAAAAATAAAATAAAAGAAAATTAAAAACAAAAGAAAATAGAAAAAGAAGAGCAAACTAAGCCAAGGCAAACAGAAGAAAAGAAATGAAGATTAAAGCAAAAAGGAATAAAAATAGAAACTAGAAAAACTAGTTGCAAAAATGCATAAAACCAAAGTTGGTTGTTTGAAAAGATCAATAAAACTGACAAGCCAGGACCAGCAGCATGTGCTTCTAATTCCAGTTACTTAGGAGGCTGAAGCAGGAGGATTGCTTCAGGCCAGGAGTCTGAGACTATTCTGGGCAATATAGTGAGGTCCTGTGTCTAAATAAATAAAAATTATTTTTTAAAAACTTAACAAATCTTTAACTGGACTGACTAGGAAATAGAAGAGAGAGATTCAAATTACTAAAATCAGGAATGAAACAGGGGATATTACCACTAACCACAAAGAAATAAAAAGGGATTATAATGGAATACTATAAACTGTGTTGCCTACCAACAAATTAGACAACTTGGATGAAATGATGAAATGCCTAAAACACACAAACCAAAACTACCTTAAGAAGAAATAGGAAATCTGAATTTTAAAACGATTGAGCTAGTATTCAAAACACTTCCCACATAGAAAAACCCAGGATCACATGGCTTTGCTGATGAATTCTACTAAATACTTAAAGAAGAATTAACATGGATCTTTTAAAAATTCTTCCGAGAAACAGAAGAAGGAATATTCCCCAACTCATTTTATAAGATCAGCATTACATTTGGTATAAGATACCCAAACCAGAAAAAGCTATCACAAAAAAAACCCTATAAACCAATAGCTCTTATGAATATGGACACAATTAGATAGTAGTAATGGTTGCACAATTCGTGAATATATTAAAAAATAATGAATTGTATACTTTAAATGAGTGATTATCATAATGTGAGGAATATATTTTAAAATAAATGTTTAAAAAGTAGATATCTTTGGGGAGGAATTATAGACATAGTAAGAATTCCTAATTCTAACTAGTACTGAGGAGGTTCACAGATAAAGTTGTGCAAGAATTAAGCAAGGCTGGGTGAGGGAGGAGGCTATTTTGGGGATAATACATGTTTTTAGTCTTTGGAAAAAGAACAGCTGTTAGATAAGAGTGGGAGGCATTTAGAGCAGAGAAATTAATTCCTCTTTGTAGTAAAAACATACGGTTGTCAACACAAAATTCTTTGGAAGTCACTTCTCTAAACTGAGTTGGCATGGCTGGCCTCCATCTGGTTAACATGTTTTTAACTAATAAGACCAGACGTTTAGGAAACGAGAGACAATTCCTGATACTACTGCATGATACTACCACATGCAAGACAGAATGCATTCGTATTTTCACCAGATAATCCTTGTATGTTCAACGATGTATTCTCACGCACAATCTCTCTCCCAGGACCACAGCACCAATGGTTCTGAGCTCTGCTTTTGGCTTCAGAGCTCCCTGGGCTTGAGTTCAGTTTCTGCCACTTACAGGCTGTGACAGTTCGGAGCCTGTAGTGCTGGTGTGATTTAAGGTCTGCAAAGTCCCTGGGCCATCCTGAGTGCTCGAAATGTTATTGCCACTGTTTCCATTTCTATGTAATTAACACTCAAGAGCGGTGCTTACAGTGGCTACTCAATTGTCTTATATCACCATTTCATACCAATTTTAGGTAGTGGTTAAAAATGGGTGAAGACTCTACAAGGTCTGTAATCCCCAGGTTCAGGTTCCCTCAGGAGATGCTGGCTGATGGCTAAGGTGTTACATTCAACAATGCAGATGACCTATCTTGTGCTGGCCCTCTGTCCCTCGCGGTCACCAGCCCAGAAGGAGTCACACTGAAGAGTGCCTGGCTTCCGAACTCCTGATCACAGGCAGCCCTCATTTGGTGATATTAATTTTGTACCTTAAAATTAATTCTCCCTGGCCTTATGGTGTTCTCTCTAGTTCTCTCTTGGAAACATGTTTCTCTTCTAGTTGGGCCCTGGACCATACATGGGAAGGAAGCGACATTGTGGACAGAGCTTGGGCACAGAATGGTGCGTGCAAAGTGGACACTGAGAAGGCAGAAGGCCAAGGGATTCTGAGCAAAGGTGGAGAAATGTCCTTTGTGCCCATCCTTGGGATGAAGAAAAATCCAAAGACCCATGGAGCACCAAACCACCACTGGCCTCTTCATCTTGGAGATTTACCTGAATGTTGCAATTCCTGAGTGGGGAGTATCCATCAAAACCCGGGACCCAGGAGATCAGAATGCTGTGGGCTGTACTGTTGTGCACGTAGACTTCAGTTGGTGGGAAGGGGATTGCTGCAGAAAAACAAAGATATATACACACAAATACAATTAGAGACCAGAGGAGCTGACAGCTATCGAACAAACGCATTAATACCAAGCTTTTTTTTTCTTTTTTTTTTTTTTGAGACAGAGTCTCAAGCTGTTCCCCTGGGTAGAGTGCCATGGCAGCACAGCTCACAGCAACCTCCAACTCCTGGGCTCAAGCGAGTCTCCTGCCTCAGCCTCCCAAGTAGCTGGGACCACAGGCGCCCGCCACAACGCCCGGCTATTTTTTGGTTGCAGCCATTATTGTTGTTTGGTGGGTCCAGGCTGGATTCGAACCTGCCACCTTAGGTGTATGTGGCTGGCGCCTTAGCCGCTTGAGCCACAGGCACTGAGCCACCAAGCTTGTTTTATTTTCTTGAGATTAACAAAAGGAAACACATGTTTTTAAGAGGAGCCACCCTAGCTTGAGGGTAATCATATTAGCCTGCAGAGAAGTCTTCTAGTGAAGGACCAGAGAAATGGAACATGGACCCTCTTTCCTGCTGATTGATGAAATGAGGAGACCTTTTAATTGGAAAGGTGCTTTTTGTGCTTCTCTGTGCACATGTTTAAGACCCAACAGTGTGTAGCCACCGGGCTAGGTACTAGTGGACTGGACAGGGACAAAGTGTCACAGTCACTCCCTCATGGAGTGCACAAGGGGAGACCCACATTAACAAAGGACAGCAACACCCTGTGCCCAGAAGAGAAGGGTGCCACATGAGCATGAGGGGTGGGGGGGACAGTGGGTGGGAGCTTTCTAGACCAAGGAAATAAGTTAAGAGTCAGTTCAAGCAAAAAAGCAAACTGCATTGGAGTGTAGATGTATACAATAACAAGCACACAATGACCTTGGCTGCATGTGGGACAATTAGGTTCTAATTGAAAGAGAAGAGGATCTGAAGATGGGGAATCTTTCTTTGTGCTAAATTGAATTCTGAGTAATAATTACACTCATAATCAAAACTAATGACTAGCATTTTTGTGCACTTACTATGTGCCAGACATTTTATGGGCTCCTTCCTTTGATCATTACTAGAATGCTATTAGAGAGCTAGTCTTACAATCCCCATTTATAGATGAGGAAACTGAGGATCAGAGAAGTTAAAAGCTTGCCCAAGGTCACAGAAAAGTTGTAAGCAGTAAAACAGAGACCTGAATTCAGGTCTGCCTGACCCCAGAGCTTGTATCTCTCAACAGGACACAAGAGGCCTGTGGCCGCAGACAGCCAGTAGAAGAGCATGAGCACCAGCAGGGACCAGAGCCTCATGACCCCCATCAACTACAGGGCTCTGGGAACAGTTATACACCCTCTCTACATGGGGACAGTGACAGCACTGCTCCAGGGGGCTGAGGCAAGCCACTGTAAGATCTGCTCTTGAGTGTTCAGATAGGGGTGGGAGTGGAGCAGGGAATGACAAAATGACCAGGAGAGGAGGACGGTGGGCTGGGACCACCCCAAGTGCGCACTGCACACCATGTGATTCAGGAGTTTTGATTTTGCTAGTAGACACACAGCTGGGTGAGTGGGGAAGCATTGGCACAGTGTTTGACTTACTCCCTATCAGGGGTCTTTGCATGTGAACGCCCAACCTGGTTCGAAAGCCAGCTGGGAAAACTTTGCTGAAAATCAATGATTCACTCCAGTTTAAAACATAATGTCTGAGAATGCCTGGAGAAGGCTTACATTAACTCAGGCTGAGTAAACCAAGAAAATGCAGCCCCTCTCTGGCCTCTTCAGAGGGCGTTTATTGATTTCCAACAAAGGTGCATATATAAAATGTAAAAAATGTCAAAAAATAGGGTTGAAAGAATTCCAAGTCCCCAGGAAGACTGGGGAGAGAGAGACAGAGACACTGGGTAAACCACAGGGTGTTGGTAACAGACTAAACAGCCAAAGGTCTTGTATTTTGAAAGTGGGAGGGAGAAGCTAGTTTTATCCCTGCAGGGGAGGTAAACCAGGTTTCCTAATCTAACTACATATTAAAAGTTCAAAGAACTTAATTCCTCCAATTTGAACTTCTCCAAAGCATAGGGCTAGTCCAGCCTGTCCAGGCACCTCTGGGTTCTGTTCATCTTCTGTGGTTTTGAAAAACCCCAGGGATTGTCCTTCTGCTGAGGTTGCCCTGGATCCCCCAGGACTGAGGCAGGGCAGCCGGCTGAGAAGTCAACCTATCTACCTCCCACAACTCCCCTAAGCAGATTGTATGTAGAACTACCCTAAAATATCTGCCTTACCCGATCAAAATTTGACATCACATAAACAGTAATAACAGATTTGAAGAAAGGAGTCTTGGGTTTTTTTGGGTTTTTTTAAAACATTACTTGAGCCTTTTTTTTCTTGGTTGCTTTGGCATAAATTTAAATTTTATAATACATGAAAGCCAAAAACATAAGTTTTGGACATAGGATTTAATGAAATAAAATCTTAGCTGAGATTCTGTGTAGAGCAGGAACTTACAGAAGAGCTTCTCATTTTGCACATTTTTAAATTTTAAGAAGTTTCTACTTTATGAAAACGTCTTACAAATTTACACATGCTCGTGAATTTCTGAAATTCCCAGCATACCTTTTAAAAAGTGTAATGATGGGACTTGTAAGGAAGGAAGGAAGTTGTACACTTCCTCCGGTAATAACTTTTAGTTTAGAATTTTCCCATTCTAGTGAACATTTAGAAAATCCCATCCTTAGCCTTCGTCCGGCTGATTTGCTGAAACTAAAGATAGTACCTTTTGTACTTTTGTAATTTTGAATCTCTTTCTGTATATACCCGTCCCTTAACTCACTATTCAATATGGTGCTCTGCTGTTTCCCTGTGTTGTTTCCCTAAATAAGGTGAAAAGAATATGAGTGTGATATCTATGTCTTAATATCTACATTAAGATCAAATAGAAAAACGTAAAATTTCCTTGAATTTCTCTGAGACAGTAAGAAGATGATTCAAAGAGAGATAAAAAGACAATAGTTACTTGTGGGTTTCCCCTTTTCTTTTCAAATTTTAGGTTTAAACATGTTTGATCACATAGGAGGAGGATAAGGTTGATGGATTAAGATTAAAATATCTCTACTTATTGGGGGACCTTCAGACACGTGCCTTTAATTCTGTTACTGTCTTTCACTGCCAAGCACACTCAGCCAGAGTGAAATCCTAGCTCAGAGGAAGCAAGAGGAAGAGAGAGATTAGGAGATAGAGGGATAGATGCACTGGGCTCCGGAAGAGTCACTCTGACCCGTCATTTGCTCCTCCCTTTGAGTCAGGAGCTGACCTGGGAAGGACAGGGCCCATTCCCTAGATCAGGTGTCCTCAAACTACGGCCCGCGGGCCACATGCGGCCCTCCAAGGACATTTATCTGACCTGCCGGGTGTTTTTGCCGCCCCTGCCTGTCCTGCTTAGCAGCCAACTTGTCCCGGGGCCCACAGTCTGGCCCTCCAACGGTCTGAGGGACAGTGCACTGGCCCCCTGTTTAAAAGTTTGAGGACCACTGCCCTAGATCATGCCCCAAGCCACCCCCATCTTCACGGTTCTTCAAGGGTCTAGGAGGACTAGTTCAGGGTGGAAGAGGGAAAAGTGAAAATTGGAGATCATAAGGCTAGCTGACTTCCTTTTTGGATTAAGCAGAAAGAACCTAGTGAATGTTTTCAAAGACTTATGTGCCAGGCACTGTTGCAAGTGCTTTGCTTTGTATTTGTATCATGAAGCCTCAAAAATAGATTGCTTCTGTAATTATCCCCATTTTTCCAGAGGGGAACATGAAAACCAAATAGGGGAAGTGACTTGTCCAAAGTCACAAAGAGTGTCAGAAGGAAAGCCAGGAATCAAACCCAGGTGGCTGGCTGCAGAGCTCACACTGTTGTGTGACCCCACCAGCTCCCAGAACACAGTCAAGAACACACTGGCCTTGTTACTTACCTTTGATGTTGATCTGCACACCCTTGGACACGGTCAGCCCTTTGTCATTGTGGGCCTCACAGCTGAAGACTGCCATCTCTGTCAGACCTGGAAGGGAAAGAGACCCATGAGACCAGCAGCAGAGAAACAGGCTGCTGCTTACCAGAATCCTATGGCTGCCTCAGTGTTCGCTTATGACCTGGTTCATTCCTTCAAGTCATAAAGGCAAGTTAACTTAAGCAGTATGTTAGCTACAGAAAAACAGGCCTAGGAGTAAATTCTAGATACTAAGGGCAAAGCTGTGAGCCCAAAAGGAATATTTATCTCAAACCTATTCCACATCTATGAAAGGATACCTGGGAATACCCTACCTCAGGAATCTTTTACATTTTTTGCTTGTATTCCTCCAAAAGAATTTTGAAAAATTATATGTAGACCTCACACATTTCGAGGTCTGCATTATAAAATTCTTCACAATTCAAACAGTTCCAAAGAATGTCATTTGAAATACCCTGAATATCTTGGCACCGACATTGCCCACTGAAATGACTCTTCCTAGCAGCAAGGGATTTTCCATTGTGACTTTTCTACTTCCCCTGAGGATTTGCTTCTAACGGCATGCACGTGTGTGTTTGAAAGTCTTTGCTTGACCGGGTGTGGTGGCTTAGGCTTATAATCCTAGCACTCTGGGAAGCTGAGGTGGGGGGATTGCTTGAGCTCAGGAGTTCAAGCCCAACCTCAGAGTGAGACCCCATCTCTACCACAAATAGAAAAACTAGCTGTGTGTAGTGGCACAGGCCTCTAGACCCACCTACTCAGGAGCCTGAGGCAAGAGGATTGCTTGAATCCAGGAGTCTGAGGTTGCTGTGAGCTATGATGTCACAGCACTCTACTGAGGGGGACAAAAATGAGACTCTGTCTCAAAAAAAATAAAAGAAAAACTAAAGGAGGTCACAAGAACTATTAATGAAATCATTCTATAGAGAAAAAAAAATCCCTTCATGTAAAGTGGCACTGAGGATCTGGCACAAAGAAATAGGGGAGGCTGACGGATAACAAGCCCAGCATGCAGGCTCGGTGCCTATGGCTCAAGTGGCTAAGGCGCCAGCCACAAACACCTAAGGTGGCGGGTTCGAATCCAGCCCGGGCCCGCCAAACAACAATGATGGCTGCAACTGAAAAAAAATAGCCAGGCTTTGTGGCGGGCACCTGTGGCCCCAGCAACTTGGGAGGCAGAGGCAGGAGACACGCTTGAGCCCAGGGCTTGAGCCCAGGAGTTCGAGGTGCACTCTACCCAGGGGGACAGCTTGAGGCTCTGTCTCAAAAAAAAACAACTCAGCATGCATTGGTGACCTTACAGATGTGTCTAGTGGGTGTTAATAGCCCCTCCTTATACTTAAAGTAACTTGCATGTGCTAATGAAGTCTACAATTACAGATCTAAAAGCCAAGCCATAAGGTCTGCAAGGCAAGATTTTTGTCATTAGCCGGGAAATAGGTGGATAAGATGGTTGTCACCAAAGGCTGGTTCAGACCTTAAAAATAAGGCAACTTGGCTGGTCTGAGTACAGTGGTGTTTACAACTCATTGATCACAACCACTTACAGATTCCTTTGTCCTCCACTCCCACTGCTTCACTTGACTAGTCTAAAAATGATAATAATAAGGCAACCTGTGGCTTCTCATTTTGAAACGAACAGAAAGGCCACCTGAGGCAGGAAAAGGCAACTGATGGCAAATGACAAACCACAGTTAGATGGGATGACTCCGGGGACCCTTGAACCAGCTCTCAAGGGAAGGCCCCCTGAAGAGGTGAGAGCACAAGAGCAGAACCTCCAATGGGGTGGGGCTGCACAAAAGTCAGAAGGGCCATCCTGCAGCACCCAGCTCCCTCCACGCCTGCCTGAGTCCGACAAATGCTTGGAGATGCCCGGAAGAGCTTAGCAGTCGGGACAATAGCAGTCCGTGTCCTGCAGGGTGTCCATGCAGAAAACGGTGAAGCAGCAGCCTGCTATGTGCCCCAGCAGGCACAGGCCTCCCCAGGACAGCCAGGTCAGAGCAATGGTATTACAGGACAGCTGAGCCACGATCACCTTGTTGCAGGAAGGACAACATATCTGAACAGGGTGGTCAAAAGAGGGGACAGGTTCTTGCACACAGGCCACCCACATGGCAATTGCACTGGCCCTGGGGACAGGCACTGGCTGGGGACAATATGAAGCAGGATTCGTGCCCTCCGATCTGGGCCGTCATGAGCCCCGTAGTGGGCCCAGGCACAGATGCTAGAGGCCTGCGGTAGTCATTGTTAACAGCCTCCGTCTCTTCCCAGGTTGGGGCACAGACAGCACTGAGGAAGGCCTGGTGGCTGCCTCGTAAATGCCTAAAACCCACATTTTACTGGCGCTCCACCTGTGCTACCTGATGAGCTGGAAGGTCAGAGCTGGCTGCACAGGCTTCAAAACTCTTAGGAAACAATTGAGTACAAACTACAAAATCACATTTCAATCTGGTCTCAAGGGGAAGAGCTGGCTCTGTGTTAAACAGGAGTTTTATTTCATTAAGAGCCATTATCCAGTTACAATCCCACAGTAGGACAATTTAGGCTGACTGGTCTTCAGTCCTTCACTTTATCAGTGCTGAAAGTGAAAGTAATTATCCTGGGATGTGATTTTAGGTCAAGCAGGAAGTCATTCTTCCTTTGTATGTTTCTTTTCAAGTGCACACAAGGTCAGGGAAACAATGTATAGCAAATGTCCTGGCACAAGACAGGGACAACAAGTCAGAACTGTCTTGCAGCCTCCAAACGACCTGTTACAGCAGTTCTCTGTGTGGTCGGGGGGCTGGTGTCCACAGGTCAAACAGATAACAGCAGAGAGAAGTATAAATTGGCTCAAGCCAAAGTTAACATTCTCCAAAACTAGATGGTACATAAGGCCAAATACAGTCATCTTTACTTAATTTGTTCAGTTAGTTCAGCTTTCTTTGTTTAACAGCGCTAAGACTGTAGACTTATGTATAAGCCTGGATTGACTATAGCAGCGAATGCGCACTAGGACAGATAGCTCCCTTTCACTGGCCTGTTCTCCCTCTGTGTGGAGACTATTCCCAGACTGGAATAGACCTTGGAGCTTTATAGCCCAGGCCCTTGTGGCTTTCCAGGGGGAAAAATCATCCTCCCTCTTAAGTCTCCACCCTCCCACCCACTCTACCCTGAAAGTCCCTGGGCACCACAGCCCACACAGACTCCTGTACTCGGTCTGCTTTTTCTTCTACGGGGTTCCCCCTACAATGAACTCTCTTTTTCAACTAAATCCATTATGATGGTTCACGCCCCTCTTGCTTGGTCTTCTGCCGGATGGAAAAAAAGATTGCCTATGACACTGATCTAAAAGATATTTTTATGGAACTTTCAGTAACAGGATGTTCCCTGGAGGGAGGGACAATTGAAATTGCCGAGGAAGCACTTCTAAGGGCACAGTTAGACTAATTCATTGAGTTCAGGATTAAGCAATCCTGCATATAAACTAGATAAACAATCCTTTGCCTTTTCCTGAGTGGGGCAGGAGATCTGGAGCTTTGAGCAGAGGACTGACATGGTCCGAATTGTGTTTATCATGATTATTCCAGCTTCCATGTAGAGAACAGACCTTAAGAAAGCAGGTCTCTTAGTAGTTCCATTTTTTTTTCCTAATGTGTAAAAAAATGCCTAACCATCACAGCTTGCTATGAGATTCAGAGTAAACCTTCAGAGAACACTGTGATAATTATGAACTGATTTATATAAATTGTAGTTATTATTGTTACTATTATTGTAAGAATATTAACTACTATATCCATCTAAAACAAAAGCTAGCTTAGTTGTTTCCTAGATGTGGATTTAAATATGAAACATGTGTTCAAAATAAAAACCAGTCTACCACTGGTTAACAGAAAGGCATATCAAAATTGACAGTGAGTCAGCAGGGTGAGGTGGCTCACACCTATAATTCTAGCGCTCTGGGAGGCCAAGATGGGATGATCTCTTGAGCTTAGGAGTTGGAGACCAGCCAACTGAGCAAGAGCGAGACCCCACCTCCACTAAAAATAGAAAAAATTAGTTGGGCATTGTGGTAGGTGCCTGTAGTCCCAGCTACTTAGGACACTGAAGCAGGAGGATCACTTGAAACCAGGAGTTAGAGGTTGCTATGAGCTAGGCTGACACCATGGCACTCTAGCCTATGGCAACAGAGTGAAACTTTGCCTCATACACATACACATACAAAAAGACAGTGAGTTAATAACTATTGCATATAAAAATAACACAAAAATTGGTGGTGCCTGTAGCTCAGTGGGTAGGGCACCAGCCACATACACCCAGGCTGGCGGGTTCGAGCCCAGCCCGGGTCAGCTAAATAATAATGATGACTGCAACAACAAAAAAATAGCTAGGTGTTATGGCGGGCATCTGTAGTCCCAGCTACTTAGGAGGCTCAGGCAAGAGAATCACTTAAGCCCAAGAGTTTAAGGTTGCTGTGAGCTGTGATGCCACAGCACTCTACCCAGGGCGACAGCTTGAGACTCTGTCTCAAAAAAAAAAAAAAAAGAAATCTAAAGCAGAATTCATCTACGTGCAAAGATATAGAGACCTGACCCGCTAATGTGTTCCACCAGTAAGCATCATGCAGCAAAGCTCTTTGCAGTTCCACTCTTTATTTTGGGATTTGATTCACCCATGCCAAAGTGCTTCTTTAAAAAAAAACAAAACAACGAAACAAAAACCACCTGTTTATTTTGAAATAATTTTAGATTCACAAGAAGTTGCAAAAATAGCCCAGAGTTCCTGTACACCCTCTGCCCAATAAAATCTTACATAATCATAGTATAATGATCAGAATCAGGAAGTGACTTTGGTAAAATTCTATTAGCTAAAGTACAGACTATTATTCAGATTTTGCCAGTTTTTGTTTTGTTTTACTTTGGGGAGGGAGAAGGAGTTTATCGTTCTGTGAAACTTTTTCACATGTCCAGACCTGTGGCTACAACACTGTTCCACACCAACAGAAGCTCCCTCATGCTACTTCCTGCAGGAACACCCTATCCCCAATCCTAACCTCTAGACAGAAGGTTTGT